AAATACAGTGAGCATTTCAGTAGTGATCTTTAAAAGTTTTTCTTTTATTCCAGTGCTTTGATGAACAAGTTATACTACAGAATGACTACAGAAGAAAAGGCAGAATAGCAAAGGCAAAATTTGAACCACATTAGCACTACCCTTATATTTGGTATAATTTGTGAATTAAAAGAAGATTTATAAATTCAAAACATATTTCTCCTTCACATTGTCATTTTCTGACCAAAAAAAAGACTACCACAAAGAGATACTTTTTTTTAAGTAGATAGGTATGAAAATTTAAAATGAAATTTGCCCTATAACTCTGCTTTCAGTAAGAGTACAAGTATAAGTAACCCTTATATTGACAAATATGGCATAATTCATAGGTCCTATTTGCTCTTCCTCCATTAAAAGGAAAATGTGTAGTATCATATAAAGTTTATATGGGTTTTATGTTCAGAATATTGTAGATATCAAGAAAAACCTTCGCCTGGTGGGTGGTAAGGTTAATTTCATTGGTTTGATTTCCCATTATTCCAAATGGAAGACTGTTGGATGATGGTGGGTAGCTGGGGAAAGGAAATAATGACAGGAGATTAGAATGAGAAGAGAAAGTTGGGATTTGAAACTAATCAATTTTTTAAAAATCTTATGACCAAGCATGGTAGCTCACGCCTGTGGGAGGCCAAGGTGGGATGATCACTTGAGGCCAGTTCAAGACCAGCCTGGACAACATGGCAAGACGCTGTCTCTTTTAAACTTAAAAAAAAAAAAAAAAAAATCTTTTTGATAAAATAAAGGAGCCGGGTACAGTGACTCACGCCTGTAATCCCAGCATTTTGGGAGGCCAAGGTGTGAGGATCACTTGACCCCAGGAGTTCAAGACAAACCTGGGCAACATACCAAGGTCTTGTCTCTACAAATAATAAAAAATAATTACCCAGGCATGGTGGCATGCACCCGTAGTCCCAGCTACTCCAGAGGCTAAGGTGAGAGAATGGCTTGAACCAGCGAGGTCAAGGTTGCAGTGAGCCGTGATCACACCAATGCACTCTAGCCTGGGCAACATAGTGAGACAACACCCCACCCCAATCTCAAAAAAAAAAAAAACTAAAGAAAATAAAATCTTAAATCTACTTGTCCCCATATAATATTCTTCTGTTGGGGATTTTTTTAAAGGTTCTTTAAAAATCAGTTGTAAATATCTTTTACTTTTAAATATGTTTAATTGTTTCACTATAACAAGCTACAATGTGAAAACAATTCAAACTCCAAGAAAGAAACTCTATACTATACGGTAGTGAAATATAAGCCAGAGAATCAATAAAAGGATGCTACACTACTGTTGAAGACCAGAAGTTGATATCTCCTTTGAAAAGGATCAACAGAAGCAGTATCAATGCAGGGTACAAAAACTATAATAAAGCTGGATGTGGTAGCACATGCCTATAGTCCCAGCTACTCAAGAGGCTGAGGCAGAACTGTCTGAGCCCAGGAGTTCACGGTCAACCTGGACGAAATAGCAAGATCCCATCTCTTTTGGGAAAAAAAAAAAAAGGTAGCATAATAGTAATACTTTTAGTTTCAGAGTTGTTTAAAAATCTTAGTTTTATGTTTAGTAAAGTAACTACTCAAGTTTTTTTAAGTATTTACTCTCACGATTGTAAAAACTTTCTTTTACATTTATCAATGTGCTATAATATGAAATGATGTATCCACCATTTAACTAAATCAAGAGATTTATTAAATGTAGATTATCATAAATCAAAAATAACCATTAATGAAATGGAAGAGTCTATTTACTTTATCAGCCTTGAGGTTCTATTTACATAATGAAGAGCTATTGATAACAAACAGCCCAAACACTATCTGCAAAAAAACTAATATTCCAATGATTTTAATATACATATAATTATCAGTTTCTAGGCTTGGATTTAAAGAATACTTGAATGGTCACAAGTAAATTAACATACCTAATTTATTACAGTTTAGAAATCTAAATGAAATGCCACAGGTCACAAAACAACTGCTTCATATTCAAAGGCACACATTCAATTTGGTAGATCAGCTGGACTCACTGCATTATATTGCAGGAGATAAGGGTTAAGTGACCTGGGGATACTGTTCCCCAGATGTCTAAAGGGTCCATTTTTTTTTTTTGGGTTTTTTTTTCTTTTAAAAAAAAAAAAAGGAATTATATCTACTTTTGATAAATACCTAGCTTACCACACAATTAATACCTTCGCCCACATAAGATTCTACTTAAAGCTTTGTTTTTGAAATTTTAGGATTATAGCTATTATAAAAACAAAATTTAAGAACACACAACATGCACAATGGGTCAAGAATACATGCCTTCTCTTCTGATGAATAGCACAAGAAGGTTAAGAAAATACCATAACATACTCTAAGTTTGGGGATACATTTTAGAGATTTTTAAATGAGAAATCCAATAAATCCTTCAGCATTCAGCTTTCCATTATTGTGGCTCATGAAAAGATTTTTTTAACTAATTTGTAATACACAATATATTCACTCCACAAATAACTATGTACATATATATGCCCACATCAATGTCTTACTCTTTTAATTAAAAATTTATGTTTCTCTTGGTCATAAAAATCTGCTTTTAGGTGTTTTAAAAGTTCAAACAGCTATTAAGCTATACTTTGCTTTGGCACTAGCTCCCCCTCCAGACCAACGTACTAATATAACTGCATTTTAAAAAATAATAATAAGTAACAAGTTTTTCCAATTCACCAGCAAATTTTAAGATTCACCATTTTTAAGGACACTCTAATTTCGTCAAAATAACTGGTAAGAATTTGCAACAAAACAATGCAGGATGTAATCAGAATTACTGTTGTTATTTTTTTTTTTTTTTCAATTCTATACATCTTAGAACTGATTTGTAGGAAAACAACTTCAGGTGACTTTCTAGTTAAATTCAAAAATATCCTCAAAATATAACCTATATAATGTCATATTTTATGGAAATTATTTTGAATCACTATCCTATTAAACAAGATACTCAAGTTAATTCACAACTTGACCAAAGATACGTTTTTGCATGTTTCTGCAATCCATGCAAGTTTCATTCCAGCTGTTCAGCTCTTGAATTCAAATAGAATTCTCAATTTATAAAGCAGCAAAAAGAAAATCCATGTCTTGGAACTACCTTTGTATGTTCCTTATAGCCTATTCATCTCTAACTCCCGGCATTTTTTACACAATGAACCTGTAAAATCACAATTACAAATGCTTGAATTCCCACCTTCTCACTAGTACTGTAGTATTTATAAATCGAGTTATTAAGATTTTCTATACACATAGCAGATTTCACAAGGACAGCAATGTACAGGGCCTTATTATTTGGCATAGGGTTTTAAGATGTTTTTACAGCTATTTTAAAGAGCAGAGACTACAACTCCATTATTTCTTATATATCTGATATACTGTAGTGGTTAAATAGTAATTTCTCTCCTAAAATACTTTATATATGATGTACCTATTTAAAGAATTAGCCATAAAACATGGAATGTAAATTTAATTAAGAAAATAAATATCCACCTAACCGCAGGAATAACAAGAAAAAAAAAACTATAATGAAACCTGCCAACAGTTTTCAGAGGCAAGTCAGTTAAGTCAGTTACTTCAGATGCGTTTAACTCTAAACTGACACAAAAGTTGTGTTGAATTTGTTCCGCAAAACCTTGAAATTTGGGATTATCTACTGGAGAATTTGGCTTTTCTGGGTCCACCTTCCTGAGTGGGTTTAAATAAACTGTAAATAATTCAAACACAGGAAGGAAAAAACCACCACCTCTCCGTGCCTTTCACCAAGGCCTCAATCTATATTATACTGCAAAACGCTAAAATAAAAGCTCATCAGGGACAAACCCTAAGCATGACACTGCCACTTAAGAAATACACTGCGTCTCTGAAGATTGCAATTCCCACTGTGAAGAAAGAACAGGTGCTGCACCCGACAACCCACTCGATCTTGCAGGACAAACCTCCGAAAACGGATAAATATGGACTCATTTAACCTTCCCAAATAAGTTTAGACACTCAAAAGCCGCCAGCTCGTCATTTGCACATCAAAAGGGAGTACAGCTGCACTCAAGCCTTTAACTGCCCAGCACGGTCCCTCGCGGATCTTTGTGCGGGTCCACTCCCTGCTTTCTAGCCCAAGCAGCACTCAGAGAGAGCCCATAACGCACGGGCATCTTCCTCCCCACAGACCGCGACTCCAGGGACCGAGCTGCTGGCGAAGGTAAGATAGGTGTGGAGGGGAGACGACGAACACCTCCCACCCCCGCCCCCATCCCTTCTCCTCCTCTAGGTTTTGGCCCCTGCCCTAGGCAAGGATGCGCGACGCGGAGGGCAGCGGCGCCGCAGCTCCGAGTCCCGGCTGGAGAGGCAAGCGCCCCTCACCCTCTGCCTGCGCCCCCGAGGCTGCGCCAAGGCATCAGCCAGAGCGTCCCGGGGGCTCCCTCCCCACTTTTCCGAGAGCTGCTGGTTAACCGGCAGCAGTTGCAGCAACAGGCCCGGGGGTCGCCTGGGGAAACGAGCAGGGACAGCCACGGAGCCTCCTCAGATCCCGCGCGCAGCCCAGCCCAAGACCCCGAGGCGCGCGGGGCCCGGCTCCCAAAACGCCCCCTTACCCGAGGCGGGAGCAGAGGCGGTCTTCGCCGTTCCCCGTCGCAGCTGCCAAAGCCACAGCCCTCAGCTGCAGCTGCCCCACGCTGGGGGAGTGGGAAGGGTGGCTGGGTGGAGGATGCTACTCCCGACTGAACGGAGAGGAAGAAACGGAAACAGGAACCGCCGCCGCCGCTTAACGGAGCCTTCGGCGCCACTGACTGAGGCAGAGCGCGAGGCGGCGCGAGCCGGGCAGTCGCTGACAGCGCGAGACCGAGAGCGAGCTGGGTTCAGGGCGCGCGACCCCAAATAGTGCCGGCCCCATTCCGCGGGGAGACGAAGAGACGAGTCGACTGGGGCCGGGAGGAGGGGGCGGGATGGGGAGGGGGCCTGGAGCGGAGGGAACCGGCTCCTCCGGTCGGCCGGAGATAACGCGCGCACGCGCCGGAGCGGCTCTGACAAGGAGCGCAGGCGGGGAAGCCTCGGCCAGCGCCGGCGTGCGCGCGCGAATGGGGGCGCGCGCCCCTCGGCGTTCCTGGCTTCTGGGAGAGGGCGCGCATGCGCCGGCCGCTGCCACCTACGGCGACCCTGGCATGTGCCAGGGCTTCTCCCCGCCCCCTTCCTCGCTGCACCCGTGGAGAGCGTAGCAGCAGCATCCACCGCCTAGCAGAGCCGCGGGCCACAGCGGGACGGCACAGTTCCAGCAGGGCAGCGGCTGCGCACGCGGGCGCCGGCTCGCACACAGGCGTAGGCCGCCCTCTACCGCCTGAAGGCCGGAGGCTGAGCGGGGCGCGAGCGGATCCCGGATCCCAGGAGGAGAGCCGCCTCCTGAGAATGCCGTGCTCCCTACAGCGCTGGGAACGGACCGGCCCGTGCCAGCTCAGTCGGCTGCCCTAGGGGGCACCCGCACTAGAGGTTTTGAAGCTGGCTCCTTGCTACTTTTAGGGGTGGGAGCTGCTGCTGCTCAGCTCCTGCAGCCCGCGTTTGGCCGCTTGGCTGCAGCTTCCAGCGCGATCCTACAATGGCATCGCTCCCCCAGGAGACTCAGCGAAGCCCTACTTTATCTTGTGAGAGCTGTTTCCACATTCACTCTAAGAGAAAGACCGCCCCCCCACGAGGGCCTGAGTTCGATGCCCGGCCTCTCCCGACCCGCGGCTGCTACAGCCCCTCTGAGGCGGAAGTTTATTCAGTACGGGAAAGAGTACAGCACGGGGAGAGGGGAGAGGCTTTGCCCTAGGATGTGTCCTACCCGCTCGGACTCGGAAAATTCCCGGCGCCCGCGATGCAGAGCAGTGGGCCGAAGGGCTGCCTCAGAGCAGCCCAGACCGCCAGCTGAGCGGGAGGACCTGAGCGCGCCGCCCCAGCACACAAAGTAGTCGCGGGCCGAGGGGTGCCGCCGAGGCCAATCAGAGCCGCGCGCCGCGTGAGTGGAGTGCGAGCCGGCCAATCAGAGGGCCGGAAGATGAGCTTCCCGTTCCAAACTCTTCCCTGTAGCCTTGGGACCCAGATCCCAAGCCTGGGGCGCTTTACGGTGGGAAAGCGAAATGGTGCCCTGAAGACAAGAATCATTTCTCAAGGCTTGGGCATTTTAAAGTACATACCGGGGACACTTATCCCAAAACAAGTAGCGGCGGCCTTTTAGATGTTAAATATTAAAAGATCACAGAAAAGAGATTTAAGAGGCAGTGGCCTGTCAAGATTGCAATCTGCCTAATAGTCAATAAATTCACATATTTATTGAGAATATGTACCAGGAACTCTATCTTCTTATGTACCAGGAACTCTATCACAGATACACAAATAAGGTACTGCTGTTTCCGAACAAGAAAATCCCTTGTCCTCAAGCAGCTTGGGTTCTGAGGGAGGTTTTGCTAGACCTTGTGACTCGTATTTATTGTCAGCTCTTTAAACAAAAAGCACTCTATGAAGTGCTGTACTTTACAGTCGTTTTTATGATTTTTATCTCCCTGTGAGAAAAGAAAATTGAAAGGAAAGTAGAGTGACTTATCCAAGATCACACAAAAGATGTTCTAGCTCAGTTTGGGTGTCATCATTCAATAAAATTATTCAATAACAATTTATAAATGCATGGATGCTCTCTCCCATGAGAGGTCTGTAGTAAGCGTACAAGCAGGACAAAATTCTGGTATAAAAGTGACACACTTTGGTTGTTGGAAATGAACACAAATGTTAGGCTTATGAAAAGGTAAAAATCTTATCAGTCATACTCTCGATAATTTTTAGAAGTCAGAGGTGGGGCGGATATTTACGTTTTAGTTTAAACACAGCATTTTAAAAATATTTTAACAAGCAAGCGTAACTTTTTTTTTTTTTTCTTAGAAGCAGCAGGAAGGATCACTTAAGCCCAAGAGTTCCAGGCTGCAGTGCCACATCATGCCTGTCAGTAGCCACTGCACTCCAGCCTGGGCAACATAGCAAGACCCTTATCTCTAAAATTAAAAATAAAATTTAAAAAAAGAAAAGAACTATTTATAGTTGGTTAATAATCATGATAGTTTACACTGTATAATACTTTGAGATATCCAAGTTCAAAGCTTTACATTTGCCTCAAAATTCCATTTTTGTCTGGCCTTCCATTTTTACTTCCAAAATCCTAGGAATTAAAGCACTTATTTTCCCTACCTGCTTCCAATTGGAAAAAAAAAAAAAAAAAAAAAAGCTAGGAATGTTTTGCCCAGGATTTGGTGCATTTGTATAGAGCAGTATAGTGTATGTTAAAATAACAAATAACTTTGGGCCGGGCCCGGTGGCTCACGCCTGTAATCCCCAGCACTTTGGGAGGCTAAGGCGGGTGGATCACCAGAGGTCAGGAGTTCAAGACCAGCCTGGCCATGGCAAGACCCCATCTCTACTGAAAATACAAAAATTAGCTGGGTGTGGTGGCGGGTGCCTGTAATCACAGCTACTCGGGAGGCTGAGGCAGGAGAATCGCTTGAACCAGGGAGGTGGAGGTTGCGGTGAGCCGAGATCACACCATTGCACTCCAGCCTGGGCAACAAGAGTGAAACTCCGTCTCAAAAAAAATAAATAAATAAATAACAAATAATTTGGTATCTCTTGAATACACTCAGAAACTAATTCTTCAGTGATTTTGAAGTCTGCTTTGTTGAATCAGTATACTTCTCCACCTGTGACGGAACATTATTATCAAAACCCTTTCCAAGGCAGGCTCAGGATTTAGCTGCTATCCCAAAACTGGAGGTCTCTGTCAAGCAACTGATATCTGAGAACAAGTCTTTACACATTAAGTTCCAAGCCAATCATGAATTTCCAGGAAATTCACTTATAAAAGGGATGATTACCCTGCCTCTTCTCAGTGTGGACAACAGTCCCAGCTTTTTAAAAATGCATTTATTTTACTCTCTCCAGAGAAGAAAATTCCTAGAACTCAGTCTTTCTCTTGCCAGGTTAAATTCTGAGAGAGAAGGAATCCCCCAAAAGGTTCTAAACATCACTGGCCATCAGAAACTGTCTGTGTCAAAAGCGTTTTTCCACAAGCTGCAGGTCCCCCCCTGTTGCTGGGCTCTCTTATTCTCTTCTCCCAACTGCTTGCCTCTGCTGCTCATCACTCCCAGTTTGTGATATTAGATTAAGTAAGTATAGGTACTCCACCTCTTACTCCACCCCTCCCTCACCAAACTAGGTTTTGGACCCATCTTTGCTTATCCCAAAAGTTAAAGACAAGTTCTGTTCAACAAAAGATTAGACAGAATAATCTTTATGATCTGTTTTACTGAGAACTAACAGGGCCTTGTCAGTGCATTGTTCTCTTTTACATAGCCTCAGTCAAATTCTTACCCATCAGCTAGAGCTATGGGGACTTGGGTGTGGGGCAAGAAGGAGTCAACCCTTAGACAATGGAAAAGATCAAAATGAAAGTTAAAGTGAGCACATGAGTGGCCATTTTATTGAGAGATTAGCTAGATCAAAGTTAATGAAATTGAATGCTATCACATTTCCTAAGTTGTGAACATTCATGTAGAAACTGGTTTGAAATTTACTACCATTTTATTATGACTGTAATAAAAATAATAGCCAAAGTGTAATAGTGCTGAGCACCAGGCCCCATGCAAAACTCTTTACCTCTACCGTTTAATTCTCAAATCAAACCTTTGAGGTGGATCCTATTATTACGGTGGGGAGATCTGTGGAGTTCCAGCAAGGGGTTGAGGCACTCAGAAAGCTTAGCATAAGCTACTTACCAAATAGTTTAGAAATTTTTCTATCTCTACCAATGTGTACCAACTGACTGTCAGCCATGGAAGCATTCTGAATAATTGTTAATTGTTCTCGTTGTTTTATAATTGTTGCTCTAGCTACACTTCACTTATAGGATCTGATTTTCCAGGAAGTCATCCAAAGGTCAGCATTGTTATTGCCAAGAGCAAGAAGGGGTGACCTTGAGATAATCATTTTACCCATCTGGGCCTCAGTTTTCTCATTTGTAAAATAAAAGGGTTGGACTAGGTAAGTTGTTCATCAGTTCTAAAACTACAAATCTAGCCAACTTGACACACCATTGACAATAACTACAAAAATGAAATATGGGGGGGAAAGTCTATATTTTCATTTTTGTTTTTTAGAGACAAAGTCGCAGAATGTTGCCAAGGCTGGTCTTGAACTCGTGGCCTCAAGCTGTACTCTCACCTCAGCCTCCTGAGTAGCTAAGAATCTGTATTTTCAAATTCAATGTGTTTTAAGTCACTTTTGAGCCAGCTCCTTAAACAAACTTTATACCTACTCATTAAAAAGCCAGAGCAAATCTTTCCCATTAGAAGAGTAAATGAAGTAATTGATTTAAAGACTGATGAAACTAGCCAGACTATGCCTCCCTATGACTTGCCTCTATGGCTGAAATTTCTGTCTTCTTCATTGGGATAAAGCAGCATATAGTTCACACTATTGATTTCTTATTCACCATTCACTCCTGTCCTTCCTTATTAATAAGGCTCTTTATTTTTGTTTTCATCTGCCAATTTTTTATGTAACCACCCAAACTCCAACTACAGAAGGGCAACTCAATTAGCCAGTAAATGGATTCCCTAATATGGTAGGAGATTTATCATGCTTACTCTCTCCTTTCAGATATACAAAAAGATTACATTTTTTCACACCCACCCCAGGTACCCTCCTCCCCTTGCAGTTGGGCTGGACCATGTGACTGACTAGCTATAGCCACCAGTCTGTAGTGAGTTGTGGGTAGAAGTGGTATGTGTCAATTCCAGGTAGAACAGTTCATTGCCAGCATAAGTCCTTACAATGTTTACTCTTCCCCAGACTCAAGACCAGTATTATCTTGAGAGTATTGGTAAAGCCTCTCTCGGCTTAAGTTCCAAAAAATAAAGGACAAGGTAGAGCAGCCTGCCTCCCATTTTCATCTGGTTTTAATAAGAAATACACCTTTGTAGTTTAAGCCACTGAGATTTGGGGGTATTTTTCACTGCAGTATGACCTAGCATCTAGGTTATGCTAGACTAGAATATGCTAGAATTAGAATAGTCCTAGACTATTCTAATTAATATACTTGAAAACCATTAGGACCAGGACAAACTGGCCCAATCAGACCGAAGGAAAGGATTTTCAGTCCATACCTGGGGGAAGGAGTTCTCTCTTTCCTGCCAGATATGAGCAAGTCAACCTGTAATCCAGATTGCCATTGGCAGCAATCTTGCAAGAGGAATTAACCTGAAAATGAAGTCAACCTACTGGGGATGGCAGACAGATAGAAAACCCTTGAAGATATGGTTGAGCTGTGGTCATACCACTCCTGAAATCTGCTCTTTCCTGGACTATTAATTCTACAAAATAATAATTCTGTTTGTTTGTTTCCACCATAACACTGTAAGCAAAAACTCTATCTTGTATGTCTTTAATTTCATCTCAGTTCCTAACACAGATATGTCTCAAGAAGCACTAAAAAATATTGGATATAGCCAGGAATGATGGCTCATACCTGTTACCTCAACACTTTGGGAAGTCAAAGTGGGAGGATCACTTGAGGCCAGGAGTTCAAGACTGGCCTGGGCAACCATAGCAAGACCCCTGTCTTTATTTTTTATAATATATTGGATACATTAAAAAATTTTAATGTAATAGATCATACTCTTGCCTTCAGAAATAAAATATTATCTGCATTAACAAAGAGAAAGAATAATTTTATTCAATCCAACCTTTTTACAGATGAAAAGATTAAAACCTTGTAAGACACTACAAGGTTTATCAAGTTCATATGCTTTGGTATGGCAGAATTGAAGTAGGGAAATAGCTAATAATTTCTTCATCAAAATTGACCATAGTTTCCAACTTAGGATAGAGAAGTATTGAGCCAGTATATTACCCTCAGACTTAGTAGCTATTTTGTAACCACATTACACCAACCTGGTTCAACTTTTATGTTAACAAAGTTGTGAGTTGTTTTTCAGTTACCATGGGCCTCCAGTTTGAAGGTCACCTAACCTGAACATGCCCAGATGAACCGAGTCTGCAACCACAAAAGGAACCTAAGTGCTCTGACTGAGGAGTGGGGAATGAATTAAGAAGGGGACACCACGTGGCAGGATCCAAGATCTAATCATTATCATCACCCCATGGCAGGATCCAATCAAATCATACCTCCCAGCATCACCTCATTGCAAGATCCAATCACATCTCATTACTTTATGCTTATAAAACCTGGCCAGGCCAGGCACTGTGGCTCACACCTGTAATCCCAGCACTTTGGGAGGCCAATGTGGGCAGATCACTTGAGGCCAGGAGTTCGAGACCAGCCTGACCAACATAGTGAAACCCCATCTCTACTAAAAAGTAGAAAAATTAGCCGGGCATGGTTGTGGGCACCTGTAATCTCAGCTATTTAGGAGGGAGCTCAAGGCAAGAGAATCATTTTGAACCCAGGGAGGCGGAGGTTGCACTGAGCCGAGGATTATGGCCCACTGCACTCCAGCCTGGGCAACAGAGCGAGACTCTATCTCGCAAAAAAAAAAAAAAAAAAAGAAAAACATAATCCCAGCACTTTGGAGGCCGAGGCGGGTGGATCACGAGGTCAGGAGGGATCCGAAGGACCATCCTGGGCTAAACAGGTGAACCCCTGTCTCACCTTAAAAATTACAAAAAAATTAGCGGGGCGTGGGTGGCGGACACCTATAGTCCACGCTTACCTCAGGAGGACTTGAGGCAGGAGAACGGCTGAACCTGGGAGGGCGGGGAGCTTGCAGTCGGCCGGAGAATTTCACCACTGCAGCCCAGCCTGGGCAATCAGAGAGGAAAAGAAGAAATGAAATGGAGAGAGAGAGAAACAAGAGAGAGAGAGAGGAAAGGAAAGAAGGAAGGAAAAGAGAAGTGAGAGGGAGAGGAGAGAGGAGAGAGGGAGGAGGGAGGGGGGAAGGGGAGGAGGGAGGGAGAAAAGAAAAACAAGCCCCTGCACAGGGAGACAGAGTTGAGCATATCCTCCCGTCTCCTTGCGGTTGACTTACAATAAAGCTTTTATTTTCTCAAAAGCCATGGTATTGGCCATTGGCCTCTATGCACATTAAACAGTGCTCAGTAACAATCTGACCTTGGGCAAGTTAATTAACCTCTCTGAGCCTTGGTTTTTCCATCTATAAGAAGGGATGATGACCCCTAGCTCATGGGG